TTTTTTTTTGAGACAGAGTCTTGCTTTATTGCCCAGGCTGAAGTGCAATGGTGTGATCTCAGCTCACTGCAACCTCCGCCTCCTAGGTTCAAGCAATTCTCCTGCCTCAGTCTCCCTAGTAGCTGAGATTACAGGCAGATACCATGACACCCAGCTCATTTTTGTATTTTTAGTAGAGACGAGATTTCACCATATTGGTCAGACTGGTTTCAAACTCCTGACCTCAGGTGATCCACCCGCCTCAGCCTCCCAAAGTGCTGAAATTACAGGCATGAGCCTCTGCGCCCGACCTCTAGACCTCTTCTTTTATCCCTTTCAATTTTCCCTTCCCAAAGAGGACAAGAATAAAGAAAAATGCCTCTTAATTGTCATTTTGGAATGAAACAGTTGAGCTGTTTTTATTACAGTGTATTTTGGTTATTGAGTGAATTTATATAAATCAACAAACTAGTTCTTAATTACTCTCATAAGATGGTGGAGTAGGTATCACCATATAAGTTAATATAATGTTCCTGTGAATTTTTTCAATATATTTGAATATAAGGCAAATACCTTCAAATAATGACACTCATTCTGATTTTGTTGTTTTGATTTCATTATTTTCTAGGTTCCATCTGTCTTGCTTGCTCCAAGTCATCTGATGGCTCTTCTGACGCTTGGAATTAATTCTGCCATGGTCCTAGATTGTGGATATAGGGAAAGCCTGGTGTTACCCATATCTTTTTTGTCATCCAGCCAACTTTGGAGTTCTTACTCTACTTTAACTAAAATAATTAGGCTAATTACAAATGATTTGTATTGTACTGAACTATTTTGGGTTACTATGTACAAATATGAATTTCAATGTGGAAAAAGTTCACAGGATTGTAAGACTTAAATTTACTTTTTGTAGAAGTTACTATCATTTGGTCCCAGGATATACTCCAGGAGTATACCTCATGAATATTACGTTCAGTTTTTAAAAGAAAAATCAGGATGTGTCAAGTTGACTAGGATAGTCAAGTTTTAAGAAAAAAATCATACAAAGGGTAATTCGAGAAACTGAAATGAGAACATTCAATCCAGAAAGATTTCAGTACCTGAAGAGCTCACTGGCGCCTGTAGTCCCAGCTACTCCGGAGGCTGAGGCAGGAGAATGACATGAACACCCGGGAGGTGGAGCTTGCAGTGAGCCGAGATCGCTACTGCACTCCATCCTGGGCGACAGAGCGAGACTCCGCCTCAAAAAAAAAAAACAAAAAGAAAGAAAAACATATTTCTTTTCTTTTTTTTTTTTTTAAATCTCCGTTGGCTATCATGAAGGCAGTGTGCCTTAGTGTTTACAAGCTTGGGTTTTAGAATCAAATACACAATAAG